GAGAGCCGAGCGTTTAGAAGGCGTCAGAGTTTCCTCGATAGCCCGCAACTGAAGAGGGATATTTGCGGATAATACCGGGAAATCTTTTTAAACTTTCCGTTCCGTGTGGGTGGGTCGCGTTAACCGAACCTCCTATCGGAAACAACTGTTTGTATTTCCAATAGAGAGCCGTCGCGCATCAAGTGGATGAAACCTTGGGAGACGGTTTATCCTTTAAAGTTTATCCCAACAAGAGACGATGAGCTCGCTCCTTCGGCTTTCCTTTGCCCGCCGCGCCTCGAGAAATCGATCCCAACGCGCGTAACCGATGTTCCACGCAAAATTGCCCACGTCCCATTCCACACACCCCTCTCAAAATCCTCCTTTTCCCAACGCATGGCAACGCTTTAAATCTTTCGCGCGCGCGCGTCTTTAAATCCAACTTTTCCCCTCCTGAATACGTAATCCGTATCGCGTACCTTTTAAATATAGCGTAAACGTATCGTCGAGCGTGGGATATACAACAAACGGTACAGAGAGAAGCTTCGAATTTCGTTGTATATATTCCAGGTATCTTTTTAATTCTACGTGTAAAAACGTAGAGAATAAAATTGCTTCGTTTAGAGGCTTCATTTTTTTGAGAAAATTGAGTTTGAAATATTCAAACGGGAAATATGAAGATTAGACGTACGTGTTACTCCACGAATTTTTAAATTAGATTTTTCCCGGAAATTTACTCTTTTTTTTTTTTTTTTTGTACCCGGATATACTTTTTTTCCAAACGAAAATATTGTATTCTACGTTATTGACGTTCCTTTTTTTTTTTTTTCTTCCCCCACGTAGAACAATCTCCTACCGATTATCCGCCTAGCTGAAAATTATCCAAACTGTATTCGAGTGTGTGTGTGTGTGTGCGCACGCCAAGTTTACACAAACTCGTTTCTCTCCTGTATACACGTATACAACTCGAAATGAAAAAACTTTTGCTCCTTCCCTTTTTCGACATATTTTCACGCTGTTAAAATTATAACGCTGTTCGGTTTATTATCATACACGTATAATATATCCAACTCAATACGATCCCAATACGATCGATAGGTTCGTTAAACCGATCGTTAAAATATGAACAAGCTTATCGCGCTCGCCACGATTACGTATCTGCAATCGAATAAATACAAACATTAGGGAAAACACAGGAAGGGAGAAAAAGAGAGAGAGAGAGAGAGCAGGGAGAAACAATATCGGGCGGAAGTACGTCATGCGGAAGCGTGAAATGTAATAGAGACTCAGGTGGTACGGTAACGGTATCGATAAAGCTCGATCGAACCTCGGAGGGAGGAAGGGAGGGAGGCACGTTACGTTATCCGATCAGGTATTATTTGACTTGAGGAAAATTCCGTGCCGAAGGAAAACTAACGTTTAAAAGATGCGACGCAGAGGCAATAATATCGACACAGGGGTAGGATCGATGCGAACAATGTTCAATATTGAATGGATCGCTCTTCGACAAATATACTCGCTGTATTTACGCGTGTAACGCTTCGATAACCTCCCGAGAGACGGCACAAAGGGGAAAAACTTTGACGTTTTAATTTGTCTTAAGGTTTCTTCAGAGACGTCGACAATTATCCTCGAAAGTGAGAAAGGAAAAATTGATCGTTGAGACGTAATACAACGAAGGAACATAGATTCTGTCTATCTGCATGTATCAAAATCTTTTCAATCTATGATCGCGAAGAAGCGATCATAGAAGTTTCTCCAAAAAACATTACTTGACTGGAAGAAGCTTCTTTTCTATGCAGCGCTAAAGATACTAAAGACATAAGTCTTAGAATCTTAGAATCTGTCAAAATTGGCTTCGTTGAGATCAGATTCACAGAAGAAGATTCGGTTCGAATCGCGCTTGCGCATCGAAGTTGAATAAATCACAACATTCGAAATCGGAATGCTGGTCAATCAGCGATCGTTCAATTCTCCTCCCTCCCTGATCGCTCATTTGAGACGCTCGTAGGAGACGAAGTTTCATCCGTCGGATCTCACCACGTCGAGAATGATCGATGCGAAAACGAGATGAAGGAGGAAAGGAGCAAGAAGCAACGGGTTGAGGCGGCGCGCATTTAACGACAAAACCGTAGCGAGAGATATTTACGTGGGAGCCATATGGTTGAGCAAAGCAAAACAGTTCTTAAAATGACGATCATAAATTTTGGTAAACGGCCTCGTTGGAATTTATATTCCGCGTATATAGGAAAGAGACGGCTGGCGGTGGCGGCGTCCCTCTGTGCGCGGTATGCAACCTAAATATATATATATATATATATAAAACTTCCGGTATCAAGCGGATCCTCGTTACCAGAGACGCAAAAGACACATTTCGTGGCGAGTTCCGGTAACGCGGTTGACTCTAATTGAGAAAAATTGTTCGTAAAACGCCCCTGCCGGACAAAGGAGACAAGGGGGTAACCCCTCCCCTTCCTCCCTTCGGCACAATTTATTATACGATTTCTTCTTTGCGGAATTTACCGCGCGCCTCCTGCCAATTAAACTCGCTTCAATTTGGATTAATCTCGAGAACGTGAAGAGCTCCCGGTCATCTTCTTCCCTTTTTCTTCGCCCGGCCTTTCCTTTCCGTTCTAACGTTCGAAGGATTACAGGACGCCGGAGAGCGATCTTTTCATTAAAAAGTTCTATCTGTTCCCGTGGAAACGTTTACCTTGATATTAATATCTCAAAATTTACAAATGATTCCCTCCTCTTGTCCTCCGGATTACGTCTCCCTCTCCCCACTCCTTGTTTACGATATCATAATTCTTCCGAAGAAAAATATGTATATATATATATATATTTGGATACTTCGTTTTTAAAAAAAAATACACGGTACACGAAACCTTTTCGAGAGTGCGTTTTTTGTTTTTTCGAAAAATAAATGAATGGCGATACATATCCGAATGTAAACAATAATGGTAAACATTCGAATAGCTATTATTTTAAAAACGTGCTTTCACGATCCGCCCATTGGAAAATATGGAAAAACAAAAGGGGGAAACGAGAATCCGTCCCTTTAAACGGTCCGTTCGAATCTATCCTCTTCACTTAACCATCGCGATGTTTCGATCGTGCGGACAAAAGCGTGGGCGTTCGAGAAACGAGACGAAAGGGTCGACGAAGGGGATGGTCAGCCAATAAGTCGGAGAAGATTCGATCACACCCTGTTCGCGTTTCCATGTACGCTCGATAAGACTCGAGCATAAACGAGCCCGCATCGTTTCTTTTCTTTCTTTTTTTCTTTTCTTCTTTTTTTTTTTTTTCCTCCTTTTTTCTTTTCAAGCACGATGACTCGACCCTGTCGAGAGGCGATTATTTTTCCGCGTCCCCTGCAACAGAGGAGAGATCGAGTTCGTTAAGCCGTGACAATACGGTTTATTTTCGCTCCTCTTGGCTGATGGTCGTTTCGCGTTCACCTTCGTGACGCGTGCCATCGAGGAAATATCAGCTGTGTCGATCTCTCTCTTTCTCTCTCTCTCTCTCTCTCTGTTTGCCGCCGTTTCTCTGTCCTCGTCTAGAAATGACGTGAATTATTAACGAGGGGATGAATATTCGAAGCGACGCCTCGGTGCAAGACTACGTTTAACCTGTCCGCGAAATTAGCATGCGGTTTTTCGAGCCTTCCCAAGCCTCGACCTAATTGTTCGACGATCGGATAAAAAGAGGGCGTCAAAGGCTACGTATATAAACTTGGTCGTTTATCCCGGATCGTTGACTAATTATCGATGCATCAGGTTGCCGAGATTATCGGAGAGGGGAGGTGGAATTATTGATATCGAGAGGGAGGGAGGGAGGAGGGAAAAAAAAAAAAAAGCGAGAATTGGATGCAAATCGAGGATAGAAATCCGATAATGCGAATTAATGAAATTCTTATTCTAATTTCTCGTAGGAATCTGTATTATATTTTCGAGTAGATGTCGCGTACTTAAAACTCGCGACTCATACGAGATATTACGTATTAAAATCGATACCCGGCGCAATCAATCGATTCTCTTCGAGAAATAGAATTATACGCACCGTAGTGTATAGTAGTGTATAGTAATCATTTACATGGAAAAGAAAGAAAGGAAAGATGTAGATCAATAGGGGATAATTCGAGGTTAGCCGACGAATGAAATGCGAGTGAAAATCTACGCGAGAGTAGACGAGGGAAACTGTGTTACGTGTTTGCAACAGGCGTTTACAATGGACGATTAATTGCTCGAGGCTAACTGTGACCAGCTTTTCACCCCCGCTTTGCAAAACGTTCAAACGGCCGAGGTCAGGGGAGGATGATGACTCTATCGTTGCGAGGGTTGCGCACCCTTTTCTCATTTATGATCTTATGCAACGTGCGACGCAATGTTACATCTACGTGGTTCGTGGCGACGCATATTAAACAGCCTCTTATCCAAAGTTGACCTCTACGATATCGGTATTTTCGACCGAGGATTCCTTCGAGGAAAATGTCTCCTGTTCGTAAACCGGTCTTCTCTCTTCTTAAAAGAGAGATAGAGAGAGAGAGAGAGAGAGAGAGAGATCGAGGAATTCCTCGTCTCTCAAAGATCTCGAAGACGATCTCGATAACGATAATTGTCAAAAATCTTCGTTTTCGAGGAGAGAGAGAGAGAGAGAAAAAAAGAAACAATAGAGAGAAATAACGCGGCGTTCGTAACGAAGGATTTTAAGTGATTCTTTTACCCGCGGAGAAAATAATCGTGCCGCTAAAAAAGTTTCTCCCCTATCTCCGTTCTCTTAATCCAAGTTTTAAAAAGTTAAGATAAACTCGCTTACGTTTAGCTCGATTGTTAGAGAGTAAGAATAATATTTACATGTAACGAGAGAAGGAGAGATATGATACAGCTTGATAAGTTACACAGCGGGGGTATATAAATGTACTTTACTTACCCTCCCCCCCTTTCCCCCTCTTCTTCCCCCCCCCACCCGTAACTTAAAGTCGTTTAAAGACCGGCTAAAACTTGGAAATTTGCTTTCAGATGTGCCTGATCCACCGGACCGCCCTCTCATATCCAACTTCACCTCGAGATCCGTGCGTCTATCCTGGGTGGCGAGTCGTAATTCTCATAACAACCCGATCTTGTACTACGTCATCGAAACTCAGTAAGTCCTTTAAATATTGACTCTACACTTACCTCCTTAGATAAGATTAGCCTTCACTCGAATCTCTCGAATCGAGGAAGGAAATTAATTTCGTCGGAACCGGAAGCGAGTTTAAAAAACACCACCAAGTCCAAGTCGTGTGGATCCAAGTTCGATCCGTGTTTTTCCCGTGAATTAATTTCTTCCTCTTCTTTTCCCTCTTCTTTCTCCTCCCCCTTCTCCTTCTCCCTCCCCTCTCCTTTCTCTCCTCTTTTATCCATCGTATCCTCACGAATGATATTTCCTTTCGGCACGGCTCTACGGAAGTAACGACACAAGAGGGACAAGGGGCGCGGTCCAAAATAGCCGTCTGCATTCGAGTACGTCTCGGAGAGTCTGATTATCTTTCAGATACAAGGTACGAGTTGGAGGCTTTAGCCCCGTGGCCGGGGAACGGAAACGGATAAAATAAAAGGAGTTACTAAGGGATAAGAACTGCGGTGTCGATAAGCACCCTTTGTTCTCCCTCGCTTCCTCCAACCCCTGTTATCTTCTCTCATCCTTCCTGCCCCTTTTTCTACCCCACCCACCACCACCACCACCACCACCCTCTTTCCGCTTCTTTCTGTCCAACACGCCCTTCGCAGACCCTGCCGCCTCCTTCTCCTCTCGTTCACGTACGAGAGGGAGGAAGCCAGCCCGTCCCACGCTCTTATCCCACGATTCCCCCCCTCCCCCTTCTTGAGTTTCACCGATTTTCCACGGCAACGAAATTCGCTATCGACATTTCTTGAGTGGCACGTATATATCGAATGACCACTTGCGCGAGGTTTGCACACGGTGAAACGCGCGCAAGGAAATTGGACCGAAAAGGGGTGCGCGTGAAAAAGGGAGGAAAAGGGAAAGGGGGGGAAATCGTGGAAAAATCTTTTTGTTTCCCGCACTCTCGTTTACTCCACGCTGGCCTTATCGCGAATAACTTCGGTTTCCCCGATCAACCAATCTTTCGTCACCGATCGAGGGAGGGAAATTCGGCGGTGGCCGTAATTCTCATCCGTTGGACGTTGCGCGTAAATCTGATATCGAGATAGATATTCGTGCGTCGCGAATAACGTCGGTTTAATTCAATTTGCCTCGATTGTCATCGTTCTTCATTCGTGGGAATCTATGTACAGTAAACAACGCGAATATGCGATTCTTCTTGTCACTAGTGATTTTATCCCCGTGACAAATTTTATTTATCCGGAGATGGTAATTAGATTTCTCGTCGATGAGTCGAAGGGGAAACGGGAAAATAAAGGGAACAGAAATACACGGACGCGCCGAGAGTTGTCGAGTTCGAATTTGCTTTTCGAATAAGTCAAGCTTCGGCTCCATTATCATTACCCTGTTTCTTTTTTCTTTTATTTCTTTTTATCAACGCCGTCAAACGAACGAGAAGCCGATGTGGAATTTCCTACGCGCAAGGAAGGAAAGGAAAGGAAGGAGAGCGACAAAAGGGAAAATAAAAAAAAAAAAGAGCAGTGACGAGGCCGTCGTGGTGGAGGGGAGAGCGTTGTGCGAGGAAGAAAATTAGTTAGAGTTTCTTTGAAAAAAGGAAGACAATGGGAGGAGACCGCCCGCGTCTGCGGCTTGGAAAGTAGACCTTCGATTTTCATCCCTTCGTCTCGCGTTTTTCGTTTCGCGGCGGCCGACGTAACGCTTCGTAAATAGTTTTAAATTACGCCGCCCCCATAAATCAATCCTATAATAAGATTTAAAATCCGCTTCCCGCTTTCCAATGCCTTTCAATTTCTTCCCAAGAGCCGGCCCTATCGTTCCCCTCCCCTCCCCCTCGATATCTATGCTCGAGGTGCGCGATCCGATATTCGAATATCGAGATCGTCTCAACAACTATCGGCAGGCAATCACGTTTAACGGGGGCGGCGAAAATTTCTTGATAGCGAGATCAAACGTCACGAGCGACGCGAGAGAGAGAGAGAGAGAGAGAGAGATCGATCGCGATTTAATTATTAAGTTGGAATCGGACGACGCGGGTCGGGAAGAGGAGTTGGCACGTACGACCGTTCGTTTCTTGGGAGAGGGAATGACGGAAGGAGGAGGAAAAAAAAAAAGGAAAGGAAAGGAAAGGAAAGAATCCGACCTCCTCGGGAAGAAGGAAGAACAGAAGGGTGGGAGGAAGATAAAACGGAGGGTTCAGAGGGGACGGAATTCTTAATCAAGTTTCTTTTCCGATCCTCTTATCCTCCTCGTTCAACGGAGCCAGACAAAGCCGTGAGAGTGAAGAGAAGTTATAGGAAATAATATATCAGCCGGGTGTCGTTATGGTCGCCGAATATTGAAGTTTCGCCCGCGAACCATTTCGCCTTGCCGCTCTAGCTGGCAGGCCCTTTCAGAAAACTATCGTAATACCTCATAGAACTTGGAAAATATTAGTTTTATAATAAAGTTCGAACAAACTTCCTTCTTCGTCTTCCGTCCTCCTCTCTCCCTCTCTTTCCCTCTCTCTCTCGGTTCCTATATCTCTCACTCTATTCCATCCTTCCGGATCCTCCATCTTTCCTTCCAACCACGCGGAGTTTCCATCGAAGCTACGAAGGACGGTCTACACTCATTTCGTCCGTTGGATTATTAATCTTTGAAGAAATCAAGCGGCGTTTTGACGAAGAACTCGTCCCAACGTTCCGACGACGATTCTCTCCTCCTCCGGCCCCAACTTCTTCTCGAGGGATAAGCGGCTCCACGAGCCTCGAATTAAAAATTGGACGTCGCCTGGGACCGGTCGAGACGTTTGTCATTCCAGAGATATCTCGGCCGCCTAATTGACCGAGAACCTCTTTGGAAATTTTACTCGATAACGCTCGATCGAACGATTTATCTCTCGCATCGTTCGTGACAACGATTACGATGACATTTATAATGGGGACTCCCTCTAGTGGCGAAAAAGAAAAAGAAAAGGGAAAAGGAAAATCGTCGAAAGAATTTTTTCGAACGCGGAAAGAATAAAATCTCTCTTAAATTCTCATCGAGAGTTTTATTTCTATGGGGTTTAATGAACTGTCGACGGGAAAGTAATCCTCCGCTATATTCACGCCCGTCCGACTCGACGGACTATCAATCTTCGTACCTTCACGAGGGAGCCAATCAATTTCCTCGAATAATTCATTCGCAGCCGTCCGTGTAACCCGCGTAATATCGTTACACTCGTTCAAACTTTCTTGACATTGGCCGTAATTGACTCGTTACAAGATCGCTCCAATTTTTCGCTTCGATCGTCTTTTTTTATTCCTCTCTTCAATAAAATAATACCTTAGAATCGTAAAGAATTTCGCGTTGTTTAACTTCTTCCGAACGAAATCAAGTAGAACGAGTAGAGTTCGAAGACATCGATTACGATTAAGTTTCTCCAAGAAATCGAACAATATCGCTACGCGATATTTGATCGCGATATCGTGACACCCTTTGCGTGAAGGATCCGGGTTTGTTTTCACTAGCTACACAGAAATCGATTCGCTGGAATAAAATATATGTCATAGGCTGCTTTCTCCCGATTCTCGTAAAAAAAAAAAAAAACGGCCGAACGATGAACATCCACGTCGTCTTCGAAAGCTACAACAACACGCGACACAACACACTTATCGATTTTCTTCTTCGTAACCGAGCAATTAGTACACACTACCGCTCGATACCGGTGGAGAAAGACGAATTATTGAAATACATTATTCAAACACGGAGGTGGAATTCATTAAAACAAGGAACAGATATACCGTTCGAGCGGTGGAAAAAATAAATATTGCATAAGCTCGTTAGCTTTCGTTTCGAGAAATCAAAGAGTCGAGGAATCACTTTAAAAAAAAAAAAAAGAAGGCGGATTAAGTCAAAGTACGTGACGAAATGTAATTCGCGTAAGGAAAGTACCGGTACCACGATCTCGACTTTTTTTTTTTTTTTTTTTTTCTTTTAATTTCAACGCAATAAACACGCGATTTCAACACAAGGCGACACGTTTTTCCTCCAAGTTTTCACCCTTCACCTTCTTAACACCACTTTTCCCTCGTTCCTTTCAAACGCTGCGCGTAGTTCTGCAGCGGGGTATAGTAGCGCAGGTGACGCCCGGATGAGGAACACAGGCCGTATGAAAAATTCCTCGGGGCTTAATGGATATAATTTCATCGTGGAGGAACGGCCAGCGTTCTTCCCCACGCTCCGATTTGAATAACGGATTAATGACACTTACGTGACGCGCAGTCGGATCGCGATGAGGAGACGACTTTGACCTCTGTCTCTCTCTCTCTCTCTCTCTCTCTCTCTCTCTCTCTCTCTCTCTCTCTTTCGAGGTGAGAGTCATCTCTCACCACTCTGACCCCGTTGATCGTTCATTAAGTGGTTGGCTCGTCGTCGATCAATTGTATCGAAAGAATCTCGTTAATTTCGTTTCGACGTCAACCGGCTATTGTACGGCCAATCATTGACCCGTTTCACTCGTGACTCGTACATTACTTGTACCCACGCTCCGATCAAACAATGCGCCCAGGGACGACACAATGGGGACGGATGACACTTATGAAAGTAACATCGAGAATGTTCACAGGCATCCCAGCCTCCTTTTCAATCGCGTCGCCGATCGAGTGCCCCATCGATCGAAATTTCGTATTCCACGGATATATTTCTCGATCATCTGCATCTCGAGCAGATGCGTATTCGATATACCGCTTTTGTTTCCAAGGAACACTTTTTTCTCGTCGTAACACCGATCCAAACGTCTGTCTTCTTCTATTAAATTACGATTAAAATCACGCGAATCTAAATAATCGAAAGTTTGAAGCGATGGATCGCTATTTATCGCTAGTGTTAAATGAAAACATCGTACCATTCCTATAAAAAAATATTCCTAGAAAAAAAAAAAAAAAAGAAAAACGATCGTCTCGCAGTCTTTTATCCGAACAATATTAACGCTTCCCGAGTAATGTAATCCGTAGGGATGACACCGAAAGGACGGAGAGGATACCGCTGCTCTATTA